CTACACCACAGCATCCGCGTGCAACGCAACGCTATTGTACACCACAACGCCTGCGAGCACAGGACAGGTAGAAAGAGCCTTTACGTGAGGATCTGCTGCGGAAACGCCACGCCAAGAAAGTGCTGATAATCGAATGCGACGTTCTTCCCCCCTCCGTTCTCCTCCACATCCACCTCCTCCTCATCCTCTTCCTCCTCCTCCTCTTCCTTACCCCCTGTCGTGGGGGCTGGCACTACAACGCACGTGCGCATCTCAGCGTGCACCGCCGAATGATCTATTGAATCGGCCCACTTGGTTCTCGGACGGCCAATTTAGCTGGAGCCTCCTGGACACAAATGGGAGGAGTCCCACCAGCCCTTCGGGCGTGAGTGGTTTAGAGAGCCCGCTCTGTTCTCAACCCCCTTCTTCCCCTTCGGGGAGGGGTTTACCCCTCCCCCTACCCCCTCCCCCTGGGCCTGGAGAGGGCGCCCCGCGGGTCGTTGGAGGGGTCTTTTTCGACTCCTGGGAGGGCTAAAAAACGACACCCCTCACGAGGATTCTGGCCCCGACGGGGGGAGGCAGAAAAGTGCTCCCCTCTTCTTTGAAGCCAAAATCATTGATTTTACTACGGTTTTGGCCCCATGTTGGCCTTCTGAGGGGGCAGCGCTAATTAAAGCTCCCCTCTTCTTTCAAGCCAAAATCATTGATTTTACTAAGGTTTTGGCCCCATTTTGGCCTTCTGAGGGGGCAGCGCTAATTAAAGCTCCCCTCTTCTTTGATCGATTTCCTCCAAGATGGCCCCAAGAAGCGCCCAGGAGGCACCAAGAGGCCCCAAGATGGCCCCAAGAGGCCCCCAGGAGGCCCCCAAGAGGATCCCAAACGGCCCAAAGAGGCCCCCCCGAGGCACCCAAGACGCCGAAAAGCCCATCAGGACGACCCTCTACTCGCCTGGGCGTCGTTTCTGGACGGGCAGGAGGAGGGGCCCGAACGACTCACACCAGGACGAGGGGCCCGAACAACTCACACCACGAGAAGCCCGAACGACTCACACCAGGACGAAGAGCCCGAACGACTCACACCACGAAGAGCCCGAACGACTCACACCAGGAAGAAGGGCCCGAACGACTCACACCAGGACGAGAAGCCCCAAACGACTCAAACCACGAGGAGCGCTTTCTCTCCCTCCTCCTCCGCCTCGTCCTTCTCCCGCTCCCACCACAAGGAGGATGTACAAGGAGGCGGGAGGAAGGAGGAACAGGGGAGATATGCGGGGGCTGGCGGAAACACGCCTGAAAAACACGACTGTCGGCATGCTTCGCTAGAGTTGCTGTTTTGAGATGGGCTGGTGGGGATACGCGAAGCGTGAAGAATTTAGCTGGAGCCTCCTGGACACAAATGGAAGGAGTTACGGTGATGCGGGCGAAATCGGAAGAACTCGTAGATTCCCCTGGCTCTCTTTTGTTCATAAGGATTATGTTATGTTGTTTTCTGTGGAATCCACAAGCGCTCCATTTTGTCATAACGATTTTTTCAACATTCTACATACCACAGTGGTGTTGTGTTGCACACGGTTGCTGTGGTGCACACAAGCGCCGTGGTGTACACAGGCACTGCAATGCACGCAGGCATTGTGATGTACACTGGTGCTGTGTTGCACACGGCTGATGTGGTGTACGCAGGCGCTGTGGTGTTCACAAGAGCTGTTGTGCCCGCGCGGACGGTGGCACAAACTGACGCTGTGTTGCACGCGGCTGCTTTTGTGTACATAGGCGGCGTGGTGCACACAGGCGTTATGGTGCACGCAGGCACTGAGGTGTACACAAAAATTGCGGTGCAGACCGTCACCGACATGCTGGTGCCACCCGTCCTCCGTCATTCCTGGGCATTCCCAAGCGCCGCTGGCGCGAAGCGTGACGTCATCGACCCCCTGCACCCCCCCAGATGATTGCCGTCCTCTGCCCGGATTAAAAAAACAGGCTCCAGCCGCGTCCGCGCGCACGACGACGATGAGCGACGAGCGACACGAGCCACGAGCCACGAGCCACGACGACGACGACGACGACGACGACAACGACGACGACGACGACGACGACGACGACGACGCCGACGACGACGACGACTGCGGACCAGACTCTTATGCGGATTCCTACGCGGACACCTACGCGGATCCCAATGCGCACGGCAGCAGTGTCCGGAGCGCACTGGGGGGAGCGTTACGTCATAAGGGGGGGAAGCGGGGGCCATGACGCCCGTCATGCCCCAAGGAATGCGCGTTTATGCGGAATCTACGCAGAAATTACACGAGCGTACGCGGAACGTACGCAGAGCGTGTTAGATCCCGGGCCGCAGATGCCCCCTCACACTCCCCCAAATTTCATGTCTCCCAGCTAACGGATCGCACGCTAGACATGTTTTTCGTCACCTGGGCCACCACGGAAACGGAAAGACCAGTTCAAGAAGCTTGCCCGGTGAAGGCGCGATAGCCTATGGCACCGCTCACTATTTTCGAGCCTCGGCGTTAAAGAGGGTGTCATGTCACTCTAAATTTGGAGGGGAGCCTTGGTGAAAAAACTGTCCACCGTCATCGTTCGCACTGAGAGCCTCGGAATTCAGAGCTTCTCACATCACCGAGAACTCTCGGGAGCCTCCACATTATACGACTCTTGCGTCACCGACTCGCCTTGAAAAACATGTTCCGTCACATGGAGCTCTTGGAAGCCTTGGCGTCAAAGCTGTGTCCGTCGCTGGGCCATCTGGGGGCGGGGGAACCTCGGCGGCAAAACAGTGTCCGTCACTCTGCCGTCGTAGACCCCGAGGGCTCACGCCCATCGTCCGTATTGAGGAGCCTTGTTTTTAAGAGCGCGTTCTGAAATAAAACGAGAATCCATGAAAAACCTTCCGAAAATCAACGATGTTTGCGTCTCCCTCCGGGCCTTCTTGAGGGTCCTCTTGGAGCATTCTTGGGCTACCTTGGCGCTATATTGGGCCGTCCTGGGGCCCTTCTGGGCCGTCTCGGGGGGTTTGGGCCGTCTTGGGGCTTTCGCGGGGGTCCCCATACGAGCCCCAAGGGGGCCCCAAAGGGCCCCGAGAGAACCCCAAGAGGACCCAACAGCGTTTCTGAATGGGCTGGCGGGATACTGTTGGTCAACGGCCTCGTGAAGCGGGTCAAAAGGCGTCCAAACTCTAGCCGGGCCACGACCAGGCAGCGGAAAGGCGGAAAGCGGAAAAGCAAGACAGGCGCAGCAGGGCGTCAGCTCAGAAGGGCGAAAAGAACTGGTAGACCCATTCCCGCTGGCGGGGATACTTTTTTTGGTCGCAGCCGCAGGCGAGAGCGCAAGCGGCGAGCCGTAAGTCGGGGGGTGGCGGGGACACTTTTATATATATATATATATATATTATATATATATTATATATATATTATATATATATATACATATATATATACAGCCGCAGGCGGAAGCGCCAGCGGCGGGCAGTCGCGGGCGGGCTGCGGCCGCGACTAGCGGCGGGCGCGCGCGGGGCCGCGGTCAGGCGGCAGGCAGCAGCGTCCTAAGGCGTCAGAGCCCACGTGCAGTCCAAGGGACCTGCGGGCCCCAGAACGGGCGTGCAAAGGGCATCCAGGGAGCCAGATGAGCACCGTGTGCAATCCAGGGAGCTTGCTGAACAACCCCTGAGAACGTGCAAAGGTACATCCAGGGAGCACTGGCGGGGACACGCGAAGCGTAAAGAATTTGTCTCAAAAGTTCGCAAGAGATTCAAGGATGGAGGGCTGTTCCTTTTCGAACTAGGGTTCTCGCTGTTCCTTTTCGAACTAGGGTTCCACAGTTTCAATGTAGCGGGCGGGTTGTTGACAAATTGGGGCTCTCGCCCTAGCACTGCGAGCATTGCCATAAAAGCTTGCAACAGCCACAGCGATAGTGGGCGGTTCCTTTTCAAAGTTGGGTTTTCGCTTGAGCCTTGTTTAACCTAGGGACCAGAGCATTGAACCGATGCAACAACTGTACTGATGAAGGGCGGTGCCTGTCAAAATTGGGATCTCACTTGAAACACTGTTATAACTAAAGGCATGAAACTTGCACAGATGGAAAAGCTGCATAGATCGAAGGCGTCTCCTTCTCAAAATGGTGCTCTCGGTCGAGCCTTCCTCGACGATCATGGCCAGGCTGAGAGCTTCTGCAAGAGGTAGAAGGCGGTCCCTTTCCAAGTCTGGGATTTCGCAGGACACCTCGCTGACATGCACGATCAAGTGGTTGCGCGCTCCTGACTCACTGCTCGCCGAGGCATGGGGAGGAGGCAAGGCCGTCAGATCCTCCGGAAGACAAGGGGGCCCTCGCCCAAGCGGCAGGCCCACGGGGGCGCTGGCCTGTCACGGCGGCGCCGCCCCAGAGTGGAAAACTAGGAGATCCTAGGACTTCAAGGGGCCTAGGAAATCCGAATAGGAAATCCTAATAAAACTGCCCAGGATTTCCTAGGAATTTCCTGGGACTCCTAGGACTCACTAGGATTTCGTAGGATTTCCTAGGATTTCGTAGGACTTCCTAGGATTTCCTATTAGGACTCACTAGGATTCCGGGCGATTTCGGGTGATTTCCTACGATTTCGGGCGATTTCCTATTAGGACTCACTAGGATTTCGTAGGATTTTCTAGGATTTCCTGGGATTCCTAGGATTTCCTAGGAGGGCTTGCAGGGACCAGTGAAGAAGGGACTTGGATCGGGTGTACTGCAGCATCGCTGGTGCATCGGCTACGCGTAGGAGTGACCCTGGTTAAGAGTGACCTTTGATGCGCGGCTTTTGGGGGGCCGCGGGGGGGCCAAACGTAAGCGCGCAAGACGCCACTGCCGCCTCGCGTTCGGCGATCGGGGACCCCAATGGGCCCGCACCAAAGATCGCTCCGGCGAAGGGCCACTCTTACGTGTAGTCGACAGAAACAGGCATGGGCAGAAGAGATCTGCGCGGACCTCAGAGAAACTATTTGTATGCCGATCTTTATCATGCGGTCCATCTCCCGAGGCCGAGACTGCCCGGACTCCGCCTCGATGCCGGTGCGGAGCAGCACGTAACTCTCGTGCGGCAGGGCCACCAGCGGCTTCGACGCGTTCCGGCTGCCTGGGTGCAGGGATAGCGCGTGTTTGGCCAAACCATCAACATCGGCATTTCCCAAAGCAATGCAACGCTCCAAAAACGGAAGGGCCAAGACCACCTCCTCAGACCTATGGGTGGAAGTGTAAGACGCTAGCCCCACATTGCCCGCAGTGTCCCCCTCATGCGCAAGACTACGGAGGCCCGCAAACATCTGTTTCGGGTTGAACTGCTCACGCCGCTAAGCATTATGCAGCTTAACGGCCCCTGGGCAATCGGTCACTGTGAGGGGAGACCGCTTGATCATCAGACAGGCAGCAGAAAATGGCGATACCAAAATGTTATGCTTCCTGTGGGGGTTGGAACAGGACGGGCAACACGGTACCTAACATGCGGGCCCTGATCGAGTACTCAGGTCCAGGCGCTAAATACACTGCCCCATGCGCAGCACGCCGGAGCACTTTAAACACCTAGTGCGGGTGAGCTCCAGAAATCTCTCGACCTCAATCACCTGTCCCTCAGCGTCCTTGAGGATCGGATCGAGGTGCAACGAGGGAGGAGGAACACCAGGCTGGGGCAGGATGAGGCGAGACCAAAAATGGCGTTCTTGCGAGGGGCCGGCTTCAGCTGCATCAGCCATGTCCTGACTGACGTGCTCAAGCCGACTCTCCGAGACCTGCTCATGCATACCTAGCCATTGCTTGTGGAACGAGGAATCAGGTTGACCACACAACGGACACACGCCGTCGTGCACGTACCCACACTCACTCACCTATCCCCTGTCCAGCGGTGCGGGGAGATGGGAAGCAAGAGGAGGCGATGAAGGAAGAGGGAGGAGGAGGGATGAAAAGTTGAAAGGAAGGAAAGATGAACACCTTCTGACGCATATCGAGTTGACCCTGGTCCTCCTCCTCATCGTCGTCCCCCTCCTCCACCTCCTCCACCTCCTCCTCCTCCTCCTCCTCCTCCTCCTCCTCCTCATCATCATCATCATCATCATCATCATCACCATCGTCGTCATCACCATCATCATCACCACCACCGCCATCATCATCAACATCATCAGCATCATCATCTCATCAGCATCATCGTCATCATCATAATCATCATCAGCATCACCATCACCATCACCATCACCATCATGATCATCATCATCAGCAGTAGCAGCAGAAGAAGCAGCATCAGCATCAACATTATCAGCAGCATCAGCAGCATGATCAGTATCATCATCAGCATCATAATAGGTATCTTCAGTTTCATCATCAGCAGCATCATGATCATCATCAGCAGCATCATCATCAACATCATCAACATAATCATAAGCATAATCACATTCATGATCATAATCTGCATCAACGTCAGCATCGTCATCTGCATCCTCATCATCGCCATCATCAACATCGTCATCATCATCATTCTCATCATCAGAATCAGCAGCACCGCCATCATCGTCATCATCATCAGCATCATCATCAGCATCATCAGCATCATCGTCAGCAGCATCATCATTATGATCACTATCATCATCGTCGTCGTCATCATAAGCATCATCATCAGCATCATCGTCATCTGAATCATCATCATCAACAGCATCGTCACCACCATCGTCAGCACCACCATCAGCATCATCGTCATCAGCATCGTCCCCATCATCATCAGCATCAGCATCAGCATCAGCAGCATCATTGGCACCAGCATCATCATCATCATCATCAGCATCATCAGCATCATCATCAGTATCACCATCATCCTCATCGTCATCATCATCGTCCTCACCATCACCACCACCATCACCATCACCATCCTCATCATCAGCGACATCAGCATCGCCATCATCATTATCAGAATCATCATCAAAATCATCATCTTAATCACCATCATGATCATCATCAACATCAGAATCATCAACGTCGTCATCGTCCTCGTCGTCGCCACAATGAGTATCACCAACCTCAACATCACCATCATCAGCAGCATCATCAGCAGCATCAGCAGCACAATGATCGGCATCAGCACAACCATCATCTACATCAGAACCATCACCAACCTCATCAGTATCATCATCAGCATCAGCATCATCAGCATCACCGTCATCAACATCAGCTGCATCATGATCATCATCATCATCATCATCATCATCATCATCATCATCATCACCACCAGCATCATCATCTGCAGCATCAGCAGCAGCTTCATCCTCTCCTCCTCCTCCTCGCGCCGTCGGGTCCGTCCAGCTCGACCTGGTACTGGCCCGGGCTCACAGCCACGACGCTGCTGTAACGGAGTTCCTCCCTGCGCGCCGCCGTCGGCGAGTGTCCCTTGACCTCGTCGAGAGCGAAAAACAGGGAGCAGGTCAGAGAAGGTAGGGGTAGAGAGGATGACATTAGAGGAGCGAGGTAAGAGAAGGTATGATGGGGAGAGGAAGAGAGAGAAAAGAGGAGGAGGAGAAGGAGGAGGAGGAGGGGGAGGAGGGGGAGGAGGAGGAGAAAGAGGAGGAGGAGGAGGAAGAGGAGGATAAGGAAGAGGAGGAGGAGGGAAGAGCTGAGGGTACGAGAAGATAGAAGGACAAAAGGAGGAGCAGGAGAAGGCGGCGGAGGAAGAAGAAGGGAGAGCAGGAGAAGGGGGCAGGAGAAGGGGAGAAGGAGGAGGAGGAGGAGGAGCAGGAGAAGGGGGCAAAGGGGAGAACGCGAGAGGACATCAGAGGAGGTAGGAGGGGAGACATGAGCAGAAGGTAAGAGAAGGCGGAAGGTGCAATGGGACGGGACGATCACATGCTGAAGGGGGTGGGGCAAAGGGTTGGCCGACCCGACCCAACCTGACACCTCAGGCCCCGACTGCCTAGCTACATCACCTCTCTTCTGTGACCTCGGCCGCTGCATCGCACGCCCCTTCGTCGAGGAGCCTTGCAGCTGAAATCGGGCGGGACAGGCGGCTGGCGGCCTTCAAGCTGTTGTTGGAGCGTCGGCTTGCTGCCAAAAGATTCCACGCTCCCTCCGAGAAATTGCTCTGGGAGCGTGTTTTACCTTCTCCTTTGGGTTCTTCGATAGTGCTGCCAGTATACTGACCGCACGCACGGCACAGAGCAATGAAGGATTCGACTTCAAGGTAATCACAAACAAAAAAGTCCCTGCAGCGATGGGGCACGAATGGCCAACCTATGCTTGACGAGAAGGGAGTGTTGATGATCGGCACTGCCATCTCTCATGCTCCTCTCCTGCCTCCCTTTTCGGTCCAAACCGCCCCGACGGGAGGTCGGAGGGGCGGCTGCGCCAACTTTGCCCCTCAGCGAGGGGACGCCATCCGCTTTTGGTGAAAAGTACGTCACATCGACAGGCACCAAAAAGACTTTACTAGACATCTTGACCAGGATCTGGGCAAGGTGCCAGGATGGGTCGAAGACCACTGGATACTCACGTACACCCCACCCCTCCTCGTCCCTACGCCCACGAACAACGACCACGACAACAACGACGACCGCGACCACGACCACGACCACGACCACGACCACGACCACGACCACGACCACGACCACGACCACGACGACGACGACGACGACGACAAAGACAAAGACGACGACGACGACGACGACGACGACGACGACGACAAAAACAAAGACGACGACGACGACGACGAGAGCCCTACAGGACAGAGGGCGGCACCGCCGCTGGCGGCGTGTCGGTGATCACGGGCTTGCCCTTCGCACTGCCCCTGTACGTGTCGATGACGGCCACCTGCGAGCTCTCCATGTCTGAGAACACCTCGGCCGACGGGCTCAAACACTGTGACGGCTCGAACCAGAACGAGACGCACCTGC